TACGACGACTTGTTGAAGTATGTTATTGGCGAGCTTGGAGCATATCAAAAGCGGTGTCTCGTGCTAATGAGTATTTTAGTTGGCTTTCATTCATCACAAGTAATGTCTGTTGTCTTCACTCTTGCTACGACTCCACACTGGTGTAAAGTACAAGAGACAGCAGCTATAGTTGATGAATGTGAGTACATGAACATTAGTACCAGCTGTCACGATTTATTAAAAAACATAACAATTCCTAAGAAGAGAACTGACAACACATGTGGGTCTGATTGGACGTTCAGTAGCTGCTCACGATACGACATAAACACAACTACGATCTTAGAATTGCTCACATCTGAAGTGCCTGATACGAACCGGAGTATTGACATTATAAAGTGTAATCACGGATGGGAATATGATAGATCACAATATACATCAACAGTTATACAAGAGGTGAGATCAAATATTAGGATTATTATTTGAATTTGAATGAACATTCCTCTATATAACTAAAAGGCTAACGAATTAACGAATAACTATACAAATTCATAGGCCTCTCTTATTCCACACTGACGGATGGATGAATATTTTATTTGCAGTTATAATTACCAACAATATTATTTTGTTTGTTTCTTGAAGTTTAATCTTGTTTGCGATCGTGATTTCATGGGGCCATTAGAGATGTCAATTTCCCAACTAGGAATGCTATTAGGATATATGTTTACTGGCTTACTGTCAGACAGGTAAACTTTTAAATTATCACCATTTTATACGATTTAGTTTACTTAAAGCGCGGTGGTCGTCGCGCAGCGTGTGTTCGAATTTCATGTAAATAAACAATGTATTTTACACGCATTGTATACGTCGCTATGAGTCCCATATCGAACAGGACGCGGCACGACGACTGCCACCCTTTAAAGTCACATACCGGTAATTTGTTTGGAAGTTTCCGTCCCAGGTCGCAAAAACAATGGTTTCATGCACACGTTCTATGGTAATGGGATGTATTAACTAGTATGACAATCTAATTTAAAAATCCCCTTAATTTTTAACAGTAAAGGACGTTTGTTTGTTATCACAATTGCCAGCATTATGCTCGCAGTATTTGGTTCATTGCAAGTTGTTGCGACAAACTTCCCATTGCATGCAGTGTTACGCTTGCTTACTGGTGCTGTGTTACCGTGTATATATGGGCAAGGTTTGGTATACAGTAAGTCAAATATTCGTCTTTTGATATCAGATATAATCACACATATTAAGAACACGCAGTTAGCACGTATATAACCACAACTAATCGCCAACCGTATATGTATATTATATATATTTTATCATCTCGTCTATGTTTGAAATACAATGAACACTGCTAAATCAATGCATAATATCTATTTTGGGTCACCGTAGTATTTTATAGAAAATATATATCGACCCCCAAATCATTAACATCGGTGTTTTACTGACAGTTTCCAGGTTAAACTAGAAATGATGTGTGACAAATACGGGTTTCCCAGGGGTTAAAAATAAATCACAATTAATATTCGCCTAACAAACATATTTCCATGTAGATATTGTCTGTTTGTTGTGTGACATAAGTAGATCTTCATTAAGCCAGTCATTTCGTATTTAGCAAGTTAGCACCACGAGTCGATTTCTTTGGAGTTACACGTTGTAAAACATAATCCCCATAGAATTGTATTACCCAGAATACAGAGTTTGTAACAAAAGCATGGGGATTGCCTTGCAATTGGGAATGGGCATTAAAGATCATTAACCAGTGGGTTTGACCTCCCTGAGCGTATGGATATGTGGAACACTCACGCAAAATATAATTTTTCATGGACCACTATCACTGTGCCCCCGATTTGTTTAAGATGCTGCCTGTGTGACGAACCAATCGCTAATGTTAGTATAGTGATACTACTATGAACTTTCCCAAGTTTTCAACTAGATTATTATCCGAAAGTTGAGAAAGCGGTCTAACGCTTATCAACTTGGTCAGTGTTAGGTGTTTACTACCATTGTATGTACTATGCATTATAATAATTCTAGATTACGTCATTGTTGTCCAACAGCCCATCTTTGTTTTTAAATCTACACTGAACATTGTTCCAAGTGGGTTGATACCATCTCCTGCAATGATGTCTTGCCCTGCGTATGGAATTTATAGAGTGAGCCATATCGGCATGTTTTCACGCAGATAAATGCCACAATGTTGCATGGAAACTCCGGGAAATCGTTTGGCCTTGACTGCTTGACTGTCGCACATTAACTATATGACATGACACATGGAATTCACATCTTACATGATGCCTTTCAGTACTTATTATACATCTGTCATCGTAATGCCATTAGTTATAGCATGCCCCAGGGTACGTTATAGAATTTTGGCATTCCCATAATGTGTTTTTGGGAGGAAAAGACTCAGACTGTTCCTGGTCCGCATAATAACCTCATAATACTATCAAACCTTGGAACGAGAAATAGGAAATAAGAATTTATTTAGATTCGTAATAATATATATGCAATAATGTGCATATCTTCTGAAACGATAAGTAGAAGTTTACAAAACATATACTAGAGCGTCATTCACGTATACTTAATTATTGTACTGTTTACTACGTGCATTGAACTAGTATATTGTAAATGTCGTTGTTGTTTATTTTGAAGTTACAGAACTGGTAGGCCCATCGAAACGTGCTTTCGCGTCAATGACTTTCAACGTTTGCTATGCTGCAGGATATACTGTACTCGCATTGCTTGCCTATATCATACGTGATTGGAAGATCTTACAATTGACTATAAGTGCACCTGCTATTATTAGCATAATATACTGGTGGTATGTTTCCGTTAATTTTATTTTCATTCAAGGCAGTTCACAGTTTATTTCCAACTACACTGATAACCTAATTGAATTGCATTTACGAATAGGATTCTTCCAGAGTCTCCAAGATGGCTTTTGTCAGTTGGGAAGACGGAGAGGGCAAAGCGAATAATAAAGAAAATAGCAAAGATGAATGGCGTCGTTCTGAGTGAAGGTGAAATGGATTTTGATAGGGATACTCTGACGGATGCGAAAGGGTGCAATAGCGTAATCATATTATTTTTATTCATGTTATGTCGTTGTACAATTATTTTGTAAAAATGATTTAATTGAAGATTATATGAAAATAGTTCTCCAATCATTAAAGTGAGGGTTTGCAATGTCGCTGTCGAACTGTGTTTTATATGTAATCAAAATAATTGTAAATTGAAACCTCTACCTATATACTTGAACAAATGTAATACTAGCATATTTCATGAAAGTCATCGTTCAACAATTATTCAATAAATATGTATGGGATTATGTGTTTCTGTTTACAGATATCGCCAATTACAAAACCAAGTTTTCCTGGAAATGTTATCGATATAATGTGTCTACAGAATATGAGAAAAATCTCTTTGATATTATATCTAAATGGGTAAGTTTCAGTATATAACAACCAATTAGGTATTCCGACACAGACACATGGACAAATGACAGTCACACTGTATTTACAATTAGTTGTTTCTACCCCGGCTACATGCCATAAGTGACAGATATGTAAAAATAGTAATATGCTAATGAATGTTTCAATAATCTTAGTGCAACAATATAATGAATCATATAATTCAATTGTTTTACAGTATTGCGATATCCATGGCATATTATGGGTTGTCGTATAACACTACAAATCTTGGAGGAAATGATTATATCAATACAGCCATAGCTGGAGCTGTTGAAATCCCAGCATACTTTGCGTCTATGTTTTTAATTGAGACTCGTCTTGGTAGAAAGTTGACATATTGTATATTCTGCATGTTTGCTGGCATGGCTTCCATATGTTCAGCCTTTATTCCAAAATGTGAGTAGTGTAGTAAACTTTAAGCCAATAGGGAAACTCAAAAGAGCTTCGATGAATATTGTTTAACAGAGCATCAACATGCTGTAAGCAAGTGCAGTATATCTTCGAACAATGATATGTATTTTCTGTTGAAGTTGAACGGAGAAATCAGATATAATGTCCAAAACATTTTTAAGGGTTGTCAGATTGTGTATCACCACTACCCTCAACAGTTTAATATATAAGTCTGTTACAGTACTGAATTATATTTCAATTCAACCGCATGTATTGTTGGTAACACTGTTTATTACCACATGGAATATTATTTCGAGCAAAGCACGAAACAAACTTATACAAGTAGCGTATGAAAACATTTCAGCAAAACATGATAGTTGAATTGAATGGTGCAATACACAGAGATGGGGCTATATTACAATTTACACAAATAATATGTTTTTGTAATGAAGGGTACCATCAGTGATATACAATGAATGGGAATCTGAACTTAATTGAAAAAAATATATAATTATAATTGTTTATTTCTATTGCTTGTTCATCTTTGTTATCTTCCCTTTATGTTCCTTCACGGTAGCTTTACAGATCGGGTTTGACATCTATTGGGTGCTTTTAATAGTTCATGAAAAGCCCCATGGCTTGCCTTCCCGTGTTTAGTTTATCAGTCGTGTATACTGAAGATTGTGGGTTGACGTTCCCGCAAGTAGGCGGTTTGCATTGTTTCACTTACAATTATAAATGTTCACTTAAAATACAAACTTAGTGGTAAAGTTTTGTCATGAACGGTAGATACCTGCAAACTATAACTAATTCATTCAATTCTTTCGGTTTTGATTCTTTGTGCCATCGATTGCCGGTAGGTACTAGTGGAGGAAATATTGTATTTATCTCATAATTTATCTAAGGTGGAACTTTTCTATGGATAAGTACAGCGGTGACCATGACTGGGAAGTTTGCAATAACGATAGCTTATTCTTTGGTATACTTATACGCTGCCGAATTGTTTCCTACCACATCAAGGTGAGCATAAAGCATGGTGAGCCGTACTTATTATGATATTTCAATGCTACTTTTAAAATTATATAAGCTTATATGTACTTCTACTAATGTGTTTGAATTCGAGACTTGCACAAGTGAAAAATATCTGTAAGTTATTGCTTTTACACAAAGAGGAACATATACTAATATTATAGAGCACCCAAATATCTCGATTTCATAACTGAGCATGAGTTTTACTAACTATGTAACCATGGTGTTGGTCGTGATTACGGCTGAAGGAGAAAACAAATCTTGCGGCTTTTCATTAACACAATATTCACTCTTCCGAATAGTCAAATACAAAATCACATTCTAACTGCACGATTAACAGTGCAACGTATTATCGAATAATAATGTTTTTTGTAGGTCGCTTGGCGTTTCCTTGACCGGTGTATTTGGCATGACTGGCAGTATTCTATCGCCAGTCATTCTACAGATGCGGAAAACATGGAATCCTTTGCCACCGTTGGTGTTTGGTATATTCACAATTGTAGCCGGGGTATTGGTGCTTCTGTTGCCTGAAACCAGGGGCAGAAAACTCCCTGAAACGATGAAAGAAACAGAAGCAAATGGAAAATAAACTATGTCTTTTATATTTGACTATGAAAATAATTCAAAAAATCTGACGATTGTCGACAAGAGACGATATAGATAATCTTGATTATTGTTTTACTTTACTTGCATTATATTCCAATCTATTATCATTTTGTTGCCATTTTTTACTTTCTCCTTTATTATTCGTAGAATTATTTCAAATTGTAAGATTGTACTTAAAGTTGATATTAAATGCTAACTGTTGAAAGTATCTCGCATAACAACAAGCTATAAAACTCTTCCTGATTTTCAAAAGAATGTTTACTAATTTTTAGCATAAATATGGGTTGGTCTATAAGAAATTCGTAGGACATATATACATATTGCAAATCAGAAACGGGTGCCCAATTACCATGGGAGTGCCAATGATTGGTAAGATACACCCTTTACACCCTGAACATGAACTCCCAACTGTGTTCAGCCATGAACTATAATGTACTGTACTTTGTGACATTGCTCCTCCTTTATCAAATAAAATCAAGAAACCTATAAAGACTTGTGTCATTGCATCCACAAATTGTGATATAATTATAATTACAAAGTGTTCTGGTGCACAATTGCCGTGATGTATTGAAGCTGTACCTGCAAATTGTTGAGATCCAAAGTACGAAAGGCAATGTTCATGTCTACGCAGTCTGACCAATCGCTCATGTCAGTGTTTAATTAACCAAATTGCTTATATTAAATTTAGTGATAATCACGACCCTCATGTACGACGAATTATTTTTTAATTGGTGGTTTATTAACGATATACGTGGGCTTGCACGGTGTAGCTGGGAAACTGTGCAACCGACGCTGAATTCCAGTAATAAGCACAATAGTTTCTAAGGTACATAACTGGATTTTGCTCAGCATATGATAATTGAATGTTTGACACCCAACGTATGTATGTCAGAGGTCATGTCAACCGTTACGCGGCATGGACAATGTTAATGTTCACTTGACCCAATTGCAGCCTCAATCAAAGTAAGCAAATAGAATACACAGTGTGTTTTTGTACTGTTTACGAGGCTTGACACAATACACTGGGAAAATTTCACTGACACGACTGCAAGCTGAAGTAGACAATTTAACAGCATGTCGAAAATATTGTGTATTGTTTGGTTGATAACACGTAATTTTAGCTGATAGATTTTCATTCATCGGGCGTTTCAATTTGTTTGGTTGAAATTCACGATACCTGTCAACACGTAAACAAATACTCCATTCGTTTACTTATCAATGAAACTTCAACAATTCGTACTATATATCAAATAATAACGAGCTTTATTTCGCCGTTTTTCGGGCGATAATGTTATTCAGAACTGAAGGTAAGAGCGTAAATATGGGGGAAAGGTTGTTACCATATCAACAATTTAAACAAATAATTGTCGAATTAACTTCAAGGGATCATGTATTGCTGTAATGCGCTGTGTTCACCATGGGTGTATACATCGTAATAGAAATGGTAAGACGACTTACTGAAGTACGTTTCTGGCGAATTTAGTGCTTATGAGAAACATTCCCTCATGCTGATGAGTGCAATTGTCGCCATTTTTTAACACAGGCAATGTATTTTGTTTTCACTCTTGCTATAACTCTATAGCTGCGTAAAGTGAAAGAGACAGCGGCTATAGATGGTGTATGCAACAATCCTTACCTGACAACACGTGTGAATTTGTAGCGCGACTACAATCTCAGAATTACTCATATCTGATGTACTTGATATAAAAAACGAATCGCATCAACAGTTATACAATATGTGAGTTCCACTGTTGTGATTCCGAGTATGATGTGTGTAAAGTATAACCATAACAACGTGAGTTTGTATTCAAGACTTCTAGTGCGTTATATTACATTTCAGAATTACAGCAGTATAATCTACACTAGGCTGGGGTGTATGATTACCTCCTGCGATGAGGATTTTGTCTTGATGACAGGTGGTGTTAAATCGGGAATCATGCTCGGATTCGGCCACAAACAGACGCAGACAAACAGACCGATGCAGAAGAAATCAAGGAGTGTGTTTATGCTGAATACAAGTGAATCTGACGCCGTCTGACATAATTGTGAACCACAAGACGTGTGTATCTGCTCAAGCTAAGATATCTGCTTCATTTTTAGGCTTTGATATGATGTCATTTCATACACTGTATGTACGAGCCAACAGGCGATTCTTGCATCGACTTGAATATAAACATTGTTTCTGTGCATAGTCCATGTTTTCTGTGATTATGGAAATTTCAAATTACTCGTTGTATTTACAGTTGAGGTGTTCCGCTCATTATTAAAACGAGAACTGTGTTTTTGCTTGCAGAATTCATACACAGTCTTGAACTGGTGTCTTTTAATGTGACTTGTGCAACCTATTTTCAGTTATTTTATCAGTGTGTCAAATACATACACTGGTAACGAGTTGTTTAATTGCTCTGTATGTATTAAATATTATTATTTTTGATTGTCAAAGCTATTGTGGAATTTGTTTTGTTTCAGTAAGAATCTGACCAATGAAATGTATGCTAGTGTGCAGTCTATTCAGTTATAAATAAATAAAGTGAATTAGCTGGTAGGTTTCTAGTGAAAATTATGATAATACATCAAACGTAGATTAGTCTAAGGGTTCTAGTTGCTGGACAGAGATCTTGTTGTTATATGACATATACGTTGTAATGACAATATATCATACATACAGTAAATACATTTGGTTCAATGCAATTCAGCTGATGGGATGTTAGACATTGTACATTATATGCTAACCCAGCATCAATGGAATTCGATGACGGGTCGCAGTTATGGGGTCTGTCTTAACATCGGAGCAACCACTTCATTAATGCTACCACAGCTTTGCAGATAACGCCTGGTTCATTATCTTTAATATAATTTCAATACCCATAATGCCATTTTGACGGACACAATATTTTATCGCCGCAATACCTGTAATGCAGGCTGAGCGAAATGTGTGCGAGTATTTTTTTATGTTTAATCATAATGTTGTAGTTGCCATACACGTTGTGGGTGTATATTCTAGGGGTAAATTGTGGGTAATTTCAGGTAACTCTAATTGCATGGTGCATTCCATTCATATGAAAAGGATGGCATATTTAATGTATGTAGTATGTAGTGAATTTTATCAGTAAAATGTTGTCAGAAATTATCGAATCTGTGATCAATCAATAATCATTGTTACATATCGCGCACCCTATGGGATATGTCAAGTTTATTTGGTGAAAGGAATCATGAGAGAAGCCTGACTAGAAATGAAAATACGCATAATGTAATTCATTGTAATCCCAGTCAGTATAAGATTACTGCCATTAAAATAAAACACCTGAATAATAATGAGTACAAAATCTAACTTAATTACTCAGTAACACGATGTATCATTTGGCTTCTCTTGACAGTGGCATATTAACGTGTAGCAAGTGTGCGGATATAAGGCACTTTCTGTTAAAACTTCTGGAATACATTTTATCCATTTGCTAAATTGTTATTACAATTTGACACATTTGTCACATCACAACTGACATCTGTTATCTGCAACACATTCATTCCATGAGCAAGAAAAAATGTCACTCTACTAAAAATTCTTAACTTAGCAACATAGTTTAAACTTATAGGACCGGGAACAGTCACTGGTGGCGCTATATAGTTTCGAAATCTTTAAGTCTGCCTAGTATAAGGAGCAGCAGCATTTGTTAAATCTTGTGACAAGTTTACTATGGTAAAAAGCATTTCATCGTTTCATTCATAAGCAAGTAAACAATAACATTGTTTTGGACTCCTCAACTTATCGATAACTTGTGATGTTGCTTGAATTATTAATTTCATATATATTACCATGAAGCTCAGCGAATGGGTTGTATTGGTAGTGTTGACTACAAAGAATACAAAAATCACAATGATCATAAGAAAGTTATCTTGCTTAATTAAAAAAATAAACCTATGACAGCAAACCTCTAAAATGCACTGCCTTCAGTCACAGTCCATTCAGGGTCCAAGCATATGAAGTAAATTAACTCACTATACACAATATGGTAGGATTTAGAAATATGTTTGTATCTTCATTTTTTCAAATATATATAAATATACTTTAATAAATATTGAGTATATCACTCTACTAACATTTGTCACACATTACAGATATGTGACAATCAGGCAAAGTATAGTTTTCCTTTTCGTCTACCAAGACATGATTGTTGTGAATGTTAGGTAAGTTTTTTCTGAACGAATTGTGATGTGATATGAGGGTAGATACAATTCTTCTCCTAATGATGTAATTATACACATAACAAGACATAATAAATTAGCTGGACAAACTATTTGTCTGTGCAGGAAGATATATACAGGCACACAGAAAAAATAATATTTGAAATAAATTGAGAGCACATTTTGCATTATCATAAATTGGTGTTAATTCTAATAGCATCAAATTACGTCATTGAAAGATAATGTTCTAGTCTAATTATTAGATTTAGCATACTAAATAATTATATTATATCTGCTACTATATTTGTAATATTATTAAAACCATTTTGTTATCAAATAGTCCAGTAAAACAGCGGTGTAACAGTTGTTAGTTGTAAGTGTGGGATAGCTTAAGGTATTTAAGCATATAATCCACGGCAGCATGCGGCCTATCGCGCTATCGAACATGATGAGAATGAAAATAATATAATTAAATATAATCCTATATTCATCCGTTACCGCACTTTGATAAATGACAGACGGCTTATCCCAATTACAGATAAATGATCTCATATATATTAACCCCCCCTCTGTCCGTACGGGAATGATCCTTGGAACAGTACAGTAAAGGGTTTATTGAATACAAATTGTTGATTTTTTTTAATTTGTTCGTATGTCACTGCAGTCATGAATTGTAACATGGTGCGCAAGACTCGGGTTAAGTATGGTTTTGGCCTATGGGGCTAGTAAGTGACATATGCGGATGTTATAGTTAGACTCACATGTCCCACCATTTCAGGCAATGTCTGACTGTTGACAATA